ACTTGTAAAGCTTTGACATGCTCCATGAAGGTTCTATAGGCTTGAACTTTTTCTGAAGGAATGGCTCTGGATGGGTATGGCAAAGGAGGATTGTATGGCTTCAGAAAACTGGCTTTTTCTTCATTCCCGACTGGACTCGTCGAGTCCATTTTGGTGACTCGGCGAGTCGGATCGAGTTCTTCTTGTTCTGGTTTTTCTTCCTTTTCTGCCTTCCCTTGGAAACTTTTGTGTTTCTGCCAATTCTTCTTCACCGCTGGAGGTTATTACGCTCACGTTCTCGTTTCTTGGATTGGGTTGGGTGTCGCTCGGAAGTTGGCCCGGTCTTCTTTCGTTTACTTGATGTGCAAGTTGGCCCAGCTGTTTCTCATGTTGAGAATAGAAGCTTGCTGATTCCTCAACATGTTTCTGGTTTCTTGCATTGCCACATCATGATCATTATGTCTTTTCTCGGACGCGGCTATGAATTTTGTAAGTATTTCTTCTAAATTCGTCTTCTTGTCCGTCACCGGTTCTTCCTTTTGATAATACCCCCTCCCTCTGTTTATATTTCTCTTCCTTAGCCTTTCTGTACTCTTCGTATGGGAGCCATTCCTTCTTCGGTTTCCTCCAGTCTTCATCGTATCTATCGCCGCTGGAGTAAAATACTTGAGCCTTTTTATTTCCATTCTCGTCTCGATCACATTCCTTGGTAAGATGGGGACCGCCACAATTTTCACATCCAACTCTAATAGCATGGATTGTTTGATCCATTTTTGTCATTCTTCGGTCTAGGCTATCGAGTTTAGCTATCACCGCCGCCATACCATCGTTTACCGAATTTACTGCTCCGCGACTCACTTCATTCCTCGGGTTGTGGTATTCTCTAGAGTGCCTGGAGAATTCTTCAATTAACTCTTTTATTTCCGGAGGTGGCTTTCGGGTGAGTGGGCCTTGTGAATCGAGTAGTTGCCTCGTGGTGACATTTACTCCATCATAAAAGATAGAGACCTCTTGTTGGCTATTGAGATCGTGGTGGGGGCAATTTCGAAGTAGGCTCTTGTATCTTTCCCAAGCTTCATAAAGGGATTCACCGGGTTGTTGCTCGAAGTTGGCAATGGCTTTCTTTAGCTTGGCTATCTTGGAAGGTGGGCAGAAGTGATCTATGAATTCTTCTTTCATTTTGGCCCATGTGGTAACTGATCCGGGAGGGAGTGACTTCAACCAATCCTTTGCAGCTCCTTTAAATGTGACAGGAAGCATGCGTAGCAGCTGGACCTCGCGGGGCACATTAGGTACATTGAAGTAATCCGCCACATCATTTACTTCATCTAAGTGCTTATAGGCGTCTTCATGATCTCTCCCGTGAAATGGTATCTCCTTGAGTTGAGCGAGAATATGGCCCTTTAGTTCAAACGTAGCGGTAGCGGGGATTGCGGGTTGCACAAGTCCCGGGCCGGTGTCATCACGCATCCTTTTCTTCCATTCCCCCATGGGGATTTCGTCAATATTAGCCATAGCGGTGGCTAAGTCTTCTTCAAACTCGGATGTGTGCTCGCTTTTTCTTCGGTCTCGTAATCGGTGTCTTTTGGGATCGGATCTTCGGTTGTCAACGACGCACTGGATGCTCCTACTTTGCTGCTCCTCTTCTTGCTAAAAACGGATTTGAAGTTTTTGAGTGGTGAGTTCTTTGAAGAAGCGGTTTCTCCAACGGTTTTGCCCTTGTTTCTTCTTAATGCGGTTTCCGGATCTTCAAGAGGGGGAATTAGAGGCGTAGCAGATCCTCGGGTCATGAACCAACTGCAAACTAAAACAAAACAAAACGCGTAAAAAAGAACAAAAATTTAATCTGATTCAGCGTCAGACTCGCCGAGTCGGGGCGAATGCACTCGGCGAGTTCACGTTAAAATCAGTGTTTTTTTTTTTTTTTTTTTTTTTTTTTTTTTGTTTTTTTAACTAAAACTTAAACAAAAAAATGAAACAAATTAACTTTGTGTAAGATGAATCTTACACAAAGGATCGATTGAATTAGAATTTTAATGCTAATTTTAGAACCGTTCCCCGGCAACGGCGCCAAAAACTTGATGTGTGTAAAACTCACTTAGTTTTAATCCTACTTTAATTATCAAATAACACACAAAAGGCAGTGAACCTATCAATTGTGGTATAGCTAAATAAGCAGGGTATCGAACACAGGGAACGGCAAATTAAATTAAAAACTAATTCTATCTAAGTTACTTTAGCAAATAAGGGTTTTTTCTCTAGTTTTACAAGACTAGAAACTTACTAACAAAACTAATGCAAGACTAGAAAAGAACAAATTAACTAGATTCAATAATGGGAAAGAAACTTCTGTTTAGTTCAACTCGGTTAACTTTATGGTTGATTTTAAGGTAATAGTGCAATGGATTAATTCTTTCGTTGGTTACCGATTCAAGTGATTAAGTTGTGTTCACTACCCTAATCCTTAGCAAATAAACTAATTCAAACAGTGGCCAATTGCTTAATTTAATTATATTTACTAGATTAATTATTCGGGTTAAGTTAGACTTGCAATAGCTAATTAATTCGTTATTCTTAATTAACCTCTTGTTCGATGGTCATCTTACAAGCTTGCACATGAGTTTACTCAATTTCCTTATTAATCCTAGTTTCATATTCATTAATCCTAGACATATGATATAGTGGTCACATATCATATGAGGTTGATAATCAATAGATGTTCATGCTAATCAATTATCTTCCTATTAACAGAAAATTAATTATCATTCATACACAAGGTTCTTTAGCAAGCTAAAATAACAATTAATCACCAACTTAGAATTAATCCTACCAATCAATCAAACCATATTGTCAACTTTGTATCCCCAAACAGAAGTATAAAGAAATTAGTTCATAACTAAGGTAAATAACAGCAAACAAATAAGTTCAAGTTGCTTAATCATGTTGACAAAACAAAAGAATTAAGTAGAATGGTGAAATTACGCCTTAATTACTCCCGGAATTGGATTCTAGCTTCCTTGGTCGACTTCTAGGGTTCTTCTGGCTTCTTATTCGCAGCTAAGCACTTCTGAAACTTCCCAGAATTCTCTCTTCTCGCATTATAGAGTTATCTTTATATATGCATCCCGACTCGTCGAGTCATATGGTGACTCGTCGAGTCCCTCTCACATTAGTCGTAACCTGATAACTATCTTGACTTCCGAATGCTTATCTTTCTGAATCCGCGACCGGACTCGTCGAGTCAAGGTGCAACTCGACGAGTAAAAGCCTTTTTTGGGTGTTTTCTTTCTTCTTTCCACTCTTGAGCTCCTAACCGCTTCTCTTGCTTCCTTTCGCTTCCGAGCTTCATCTTTGGACTGAAAAACATAATTTAACACTTTTAAGTACCCTTTTGTCCATAATATGCAACAATTTAGCTAATATATGAATAATAAACTACACTTAATACACACTAAATATGCACATATCAGTATTGATATTCATTTCTAATTTTGTTATATTATTTTTTGTTGTTTTTAACCGAATGCTTATTCTTCAGCCTTGTCTAGTAAATAACAACATTATGAAAACAACAGATGAAAAAGGTGACCCACCAGCTAAAAAAGATTCACAGATGTTAGATAAGTTGGACCTCCACGCACCTGATATTAGTTTATTTTGAATTTGATAAAAATAAAATAAAATAACATGTTTTTGTTTTTGAATAGAAACCTACCTGGTTAATTCCCACTAGAAATTCTGTTTTGAGATTAAAGTGGTCCCTGGACAACAAATATACCTTCAGCGCCTCTGCATATTTTGCATTCTCTATTCACAAAAAAAACTAATATTATTATTATCATTGTTTTTAAATGGTTTCACAATTATATTTAACGTAAGTACATATATATTATAATAATATAAACGTTTACTAAGAAATTCATATAAAAAAGGACCAAATGAGGTTGACCTGAATATAAATTACGGATTGCTTTATTGTTAAATGCTAAAGCTAGACATTCTGACTTCCTTATAAAAAAGGAGCAAATAACACATGTACTTATGATCAACAGATACAAGTTTAACAATGTCAACAATGTTGACATCAGACAATATTAGTGATGAAGGAGCCATGGAACACTCGCACAACAGGTTAATTCTTTTTTTTTTTTTTAAATATACAACCCTTATCTTTATTATATACATATATATTTATTGCAGGATGGAAGTGATTGGAAAAATGATCATGTATCATCCTTCTCAATGATTGATGCATCCTATAGCTTGTCAAACAACACATCTATTATAACTCTACAGGTATACTATATCTAATCATTATACTTGGTGGACTAGTTGTTTGTTCATTGGGGGCTATATTTCTAGTACACATGAAAATTGTTGCAGATCATTGAAGAAAGGAACGACCATTAAAGAAAGGAACCTTCATCTTCTTAACCTGGCTTGATTCCTCCAAAATTCTGGTTCGTTTATACTTTTATTTGAAGGAAAATCACTAACATGGATTTACTTGATTACTTATCCTATTCAAAGAAACCGAGCATCTTCTTCTGATTTTTTTTTTTTTGGTTTTTCTATTCCTTCTTCTTCCTGATTAAGTGAAAGTCGCTTGAAATTGAAGCTTCAGAGAATGATATATATATATATATATATATATATATATATATATATATATATATATATATACCTTTAAATACAGGGATATCATTTGGTAAGCTAAACTCTATTTTTGCTAATTGTGTTTTCCTTTATTCCTAGGTGAAATATAACTAAAGAAGTAATTCGTTTTAGGAAATTTTGACTTGTGTGTCTAGGTTGGTTGTCACACAAAAAAAAAGGAATATGATAACTAGATGATTAAAATTAGGATAGTTAAGTAATTCTACATCTGTCTTATTATTAGTTTTCCTGCATGAAATATCATTCTAATTAGTTGTTCAGCTTATTTTTGATTAAAAACTCTTGTTTTACCAGCAAGAAACAAAGAAATCGAAGCATCACTAGCAGATGCAATTTCAAAAGGCATGGAAGCCAAAGCTGCTGCAAAACAAGCCCAAAAAGATGGAGCCAAAGCTGCAAAAATGGCACCCCGGAAAGCTAAACGGATCATTGGCCCGATTATTTCTTCCGGGTGGGATTTCTTTGAAGCCATTTATTATGGAGGAACTGTAACTGAAGGGTTTCTTAAGGGTACAGGAACATTCTCTAGGACTTATTTTGCTGGGTATTTAGGGGAAGAAAGGTATGGGCGTTTTGGGTATTTGGTTGGAAGTGAATATTGAAGTTGGATTGGTGGAAGGATTGGGCTTATGGTTTATGATATTGCTAATGGTGTTTATTTATTGCTTGGGATTGGTCAATTTGAGGAGAATGTTTGTATAATACTCATACAGGTTATACACCTGACCAGATGTTCCCGACTAGTTTGTGTAATTTTTCAAAATTATGGTTGGTGGATTGAGCTGACAGATATTTATTTACTAACTTACACAGGGGAATTGTCAAGGAACACAACTTATCCTAGTGCCAACTTCAGCCATGATCAACGTTCAGAACCTCAATCAAGAAACCGTCAAGATGGATTGAGTGTGGCAACTACTGGCACTGTTTCAGCAGCAGGATATGCAGGTTAATATAGTAGTAGCTATCAGCAGCAGCAGCTAAATCAATCATACCCTCAACAGCAGCCAAATGTGTCAAGTCAAATGTATGTTCAACCTAGTCAAACATATGTTCAGCCAGCAGGAGCCTATCAAAGTACAGGTGCTCCTCATCAACCTATTTCCTCATTTCAGAATACAGGGTCCTATCCTGGGCCTGCAATTTATTCAACAACTTATTAAAATCCTGGTGATTATCATACATCTGGTGGTTACCCAATTGCAAATTAGAATACTCAGACAAATTCATGGAGTCAAGGTAGCCATCCAAGTTACGCTCATCAATATCCAAATTACACTACTGATTCTAATGTTGCTATAAGAAATTTGGTGAGTAACTTATTTGTTTTATTATTTTTCACTTTTGAATTTGCATTTATTTATTTATTTTGCAGTACTTACAACAACAACCTTAGCAAAATCAATGGTTGCTAGGCAAGGTCCTATAGCTATGGCTGCTCATCAGATATGTTTGCAAGTTTGGTTGGCTGTTTCTCTGATTACAGATGTATTGGCAGCATCTGGTAAGGTATAAATTGACCAATTGTTGACTTAACAAATAGTTTAAGGAAAATGTTTGACTATTTGTCAGATAGTTGACTTAACCATTTTTTTTGTTTTGTTTTAGGTGTTGATTGCTACTTCGGTTTCAGAAGGGGATTATAGATCCGTGAAGGATATCACATACTTCGTGTTGACTGTAATGTTAATTAATAATTATTCTCTTTATATATAGATGCAAACAGTCATACATAAAGTTTCTTTGAGGTTCTCTCCACTATACCACCTTGTCAAATTCAGGATAAAAGAATCTTGTGGTTTTCACTTTTGACAAAGCATCTAAAAGTAAAACCACCATAAACCATTTCATCTGCAGGAGGATTTTGATGAGTTTGAGGATGTTGATATGTTATACAACACCTTATCACTAGACAAACTAGAAGCTCTAGAAGATCTTGTTATCATGCAGCCCTTGGTCATGTGTTTGTATTCACTGGTCATGTGTTTGGGTGAAGGTTTGGATGGTGGTCTGAATGGTGCATGCACCAAAGCCTGCAAATGGATTTTGGATCATGGCAGTGTCACCACCATCCCATCATGGGGAAAAACATGGCATTCTGTAATACATCAACTTTTTCTTTTTTCCTTTTTTCGTTTTTGTGAGTGTATTATATAGAATATATGCTTTAGTTTATATTTGAAAAAAAACTTAGAAATTTTTATTTGTTATTAGATACTTGGTGTGTGCGGGTGGGAAGGAACCAACCCAATGGCCCCGGAGTTTTGGCACCTTCCATCTTTACTTCCTATGTATCTAGGTTAATCTACTCGTATTCTTTTCTCAAAGTGTGTATTCTAATATCAGGTATCATGATTTGTGTATTTACAAAATTTTGAAATAGGGTCTTGTTCAATGCTTTAGCTGTGTTTGATCTAAGGGAGATCAACTTATCATAAGTAAGTTATTTTTTTCACCCTTTTATTTAATATTTTTGTGATTGAATGAATGTCTTAATGAAAGTAATTGACAACCCTTTTTCTGTAAATGATGTTGTGATTGTGGGAGAGGTGTTGTATTTTTCTCTGTTGCTAGGTAACCTTCTCAACAACAGCATTCTACTTAAGCAGGTGAGTAATCAAGATTAAGGGAGACTTGTAATCATGTTTGGCATTCCTTTCCAGTAAGAAACAGAGTTGTATGATTATTTGTTAGTTTTATAGGAATGTATAACCCATGTTAGCAATGTATTATTTTTGTTTAACATTTGAATGATTCTTTATATGACATTATGATTTGTGCAATTTATTTTATTTTTTGAGTACGAAATTTTATTTTATATTATTTAATGGATTGTATTTTTTGTATATGGTATTTTATTTATATTATGAGAAATTAAATGCAAATTTAATTTGAAACTTAATAAATATATATATTTTTTTAAAATATTTAAATTTACGATACGCAAAAATGTGTGTCATCTTCATTTATGACATGGCCTTTCTTGATACGGGCTTTCTTGATGCGCATTGCGTGTCATTAATACGCACGTCGTAAGGTTACGACACACGAATGCATGTCGTCTTCCTTTATGACAGGGCCTTCCTTGATACGCATTGCGTGTCATAAACGCGCGTCGTAAATGCGCGTCGTCTATAGACGACGCGCAAAAGCGCGTCATCTCTCTTTATGACAGGGCCTTCCTTGACGCGCATTTGCGCGTCGTCTGAGCCTTTTACGACATGCAATGAGCATCGTAAAAGGCTGTTTTTCTAGTAGTGAAGGTCAATATACATAAACCTACTATTGGCCCAATTTACTAAATTGGGCCCTACCTCCTTATTGGGCCTAATACCATGATCCACCACCACCAACTGGCCAAAAACATGTCTACTCAGGAAGTCCAATAAGGCCCAACCCTACTAGCCCAAAGAGTAGCCCCACCCAAAGCCCACAATCACAAAAAGTCGCATGAAGGCGTACGTTGGGTGTACCCCAAGGCTACACGGGGCGTACATGGGTTTCGCATTGACTGGAAAACGGGCCATTGACTTAGTACGTTGGGCATACAAAACCTTACAATGGGCGTACGCAGGGTTTCACCAAAATCCTAATAAGTGCTTAATCGCTTAAGCACTTAAGCCCAAATTCCAGATCCAGTGACCAAATGTGCCTATGACTCATAAAGTCTCGAACTTTATCAATTTGGACGTCCAGAAATCTCTTAATACAAGGTCTAAATCGATTAAGACCCTTTTACTACGTGCATGGGTCATCTTAAGCCATTGGGTCCTCATCTTTATCACGTAAGACCTCTTCAAGGTCTAGAAAGAAAAGCTTATCTTGTCTAAAATGTATCATGCACCATATTGGGGTTTTAGGACAAGAAATGGTCCCATAATTATAGAAGGGTTAGATCTATGACCTACAAGCATAAAGTTGGAAGCTTTTTACCTCTTGGAGATTCTATGGCACAACACAACTTCAAATCTACAAGCCAATCTCTTTCTTCAACTATTTGTTGTAATGGTTTCCCTTTCAAGAGCTCAAAATACCCACTAAATTACTCTTGTTGGAATAGTGTCTAAAGATGTAACTATATTTAGCAAGTATTTGACCCAGTTGAGCATGGTCCTTTTGGGTTGCCTTCACCATAGCAACTTGACAGGATGATTTATAACGAGAGAAGAAATATTGTTAATATATTATGAGAATAATATAAGGAATAATAATATTGTTATTTGATTAATATATGTCATAAATTAATTAGGAATTAATTTGGTGACTTAAAGAGGTTGATTGAATAAATGGGGCATAAACTGTCAAATGTGTGATAGTTGTATTTTGGGCTATGAATCTTTATGGATGTGAGGATGGACGATTTTAGGGTTTGGAGAAACCTAGAAATCGTCCAAGGCCTAGTCTATAGGGATCATTGGATTGCTTAGGGCCTAAGTTGTTCAATTAGGGTTTAAGGTGTAACCCTAGTAGCTTATAGTATATATAGACCCATTGGGTGGAGGAAATCGGCAATCATGCAAGACAAGAAACCCTAGGGCCGATTTTCTCACCCTCCTCTCTCTTTATTATCATCCTCTTGCTAGTTGGTGTTTGTAAGCCATTAGAGGAGTGACAATTGTGACTCTAAGCTCCAAAGACAAGAAGATTCAAGCAAGCAACTCAAGGTATTCCTTTAGATCTGATTTCACATGTTATGAATTGAATGTTTATACTAGATCTATCAATTAAAGTCTTCGATACATTGCGTGTTCAATTAGAGAAACCTAGATCCAAGCATTAGGGTTTGCATGTGCACATAGGAAAGTTCTTATGGCTCAAACCCATCAGTGGTATCAGAGCCTTGATTGGTTTCTATTGAATTGATGCATTGGTTGATTGCTTATTGAATGCAAAATTCAATTTTTGTCCATCTTCCTGATGAACTCAGCGAGTTCCATAATGGACTCGGCGAGTAGGCCTTAACTCGGCGAGTCCATTGTGGTACTCGGCGAGTTCGAGCGTCAGATGGAGCTAGTTTCGGGATTTCTTGTTGTTTTTCTTATGGAAACTTGCCTTAATCTTTATGGGTCAATAAAATTTGAATTTTAACATATATGTGAGTATATTCTTGACCTAACAAAAGATATTTACCAGTTAGTTGAATAATAATTTCCTTATATGATATTAATTGATTATTTTAATTAAATTGGTGAATTGTTTTGCAAGAAACATTTAAATAAATCAAATATGGATAATTATGAGATTAAATGGTTAATTTAAATTATTTGTTATTTGATCCCTTATGTTTTGAAAAGTTTAAAACTAATCCTCAAGTTTTGAAATTTAGTTTTGTGATTAAAAGTTTAATTTGAACAACTTAAATTTTAAACCCTAGAATTTTACAAAGTTTAAAATTCAACCCTATACTAATATAATATTACAAGACTAATATATATATATATATATATATATATATATATATATATATATATATATATAATTAAAATGCTAGTCTTACTGGTTAGTAGGCCTCATTCACGAAGCCGGTCTATAGGTTGTTGCCTATAAAATGGTGCCTAATGGGTGTAAACTCACACCCACCGCTTGCTTGACCGGTGGAGGGTCGTTAGCCGAAAGGGTAGGATAGGGCAACCCTATCTCCTCATTAAAAGTATAATGTTAAAATACAAAGTAACTACATGTTTTTCAAATTCCCAATCCTATTTACTTTAGGAAAAGTGAATTGATGCAAACCCATGAAATTACACTTTGCACCCTTGCTAAGAAGTTAGTGGAGCGTGTGTGGTTTACTGGCACACTAATTGGTTCTAAGCAAAGGTAGCAAAGGGTGATTCATTGTTTATCATAGTTCGGAGGAGCGTGTGTGGTTTACCAGCACATCGAATAGGTGATAGTAACAATGAAGGCACCGTGTAGATTTGCATGGTTATTCACACCCACTTTGTGATCCTCGACATCCCAGTCACAAACGAGAGGGGCATATCGAGATTTAAACATGCCATTGAAAAGTTCAATGAATCTCATCGAAATCTAGGAATTCTAAATGCATTTAAAACTTAAGGTTATGTTTTCATGGTGGAGAATTAGTGAATCGTCATTCACTTACCTTCAAATTGTTTGCACGTTGGATTACAACATCCCTTTTCTAATGTGTAAATAATGTTGTTGGATCCTAGCCCTAATTTTTCATATTGGGTGATAATTAGGGATTCAATTCTAATCAAACTTTTTCCTTTTCTATTTGTAGATGTCGAACGCAAACAACGCTACTGCTAGCTCATTCACGTTAATGAGCCTTTGCCAAAAAGTGACTTTCGATGGAATGAACTTTAGCGAATGGATATGATACATTCGCACGATTGCTCGCTACAAGGACAAGGAGTATGTCCTTGACGAGAAGCCTGAAAAAGTCAATCCAGAAATCGCTACTCCGACTGAAATGACTGTCTTTGAGACTCATGAGCGTGATGCAACGAAAGTTCATTGAATCATGATAGCCACAATGAACGTCGAATTCCAAAAGTCCTATGAGGACATGTATCCGTACGAGATGCATCAAGACTTATTGGAGAGATACCATCAAAACGCGAGGCATGAACGTTACGAGATATTCACTAACATGATCACTACTAAAATAGGAAATGGAGAATCTCTAACCATACACTTGCAAAAGATGCAAAGGTATGTCGATCGTCTTCACAAGTTGAATGTCGACTTTGGGGAAGACTTGGCTATCGACATGGTCCTTCACTCCTTGCCTCCGTGTTATAATCAATTTAGGATGACCTACCACATGAACAAGGAAGAGGTCACCCTAAGCAAGCTCCAAGGGCTCCTAAGGGTTGCTGAGAGCAACCTTAAGGACAAGTATGTTGCACAAACTCCCAATCCACCCACTACTCCTGTTTTGGCTATAGGGCAAGGAAGGGGAAAAAAGAGGAAGGCTCCGTCAAAGATCCACCGCAAGGGAAAGTCCTGAGATGGTTCCTCTTCTAGTGGGACCAAGGTTGATCCTGCTAAACCCAACCCTAAACCGAAGGAGGCAGAGTGCCACCATTTCCACAAAATAGAGCATTGGAAGAGAAGTTGCCCAGAATATCTGCAAGCCATAAAGGATGGAAAGATCAAGCCATCTTTCGCAGGTATTCACACAATTAAATCTAATGATTCATCTCATGCTATTTCTTGGGTTCTTGATACCGGGTGTGGTTACGACATTTGTTCTGAATTGCAGGGACTAAGAAGAAATAAGGATGTGGAGCATGGAAGAATAAATCTAGTCATGGGAAACAGAAGATCGTCGCCTGTTACCAAGATTGGAGTGTATTCTTTATTACTTAGTAATGGATTAACTTTAGATTTGAATAATTGTTGCTAGTCGCCAGATATGACAAGAAACATCATTTCATTTCATTGTTTGTTTAGAAAAGGATTTAGATATTCGTTTAATAATGAGAATGGTTCGATTTATGCTTATCTAAATGGCGTTTTATATTTTGAAGCAATGCCTTGTAATGGAATTTATGAGACTGTTATGATTGTAGATAACCTAGGAAATGATGTTTTATGCATGGATTCTTCCAATAGTATGGATAAACCTGATGCGTTTTGAGTATTCTAACACTTCCTAAGTTTACATGCAACCCTAATAAACCTTGGATCTATGTTTGTCTAAGATACATGCAAATAATTATTTTTCCAAGGTTCATATCCTGACTAGCATGACATGGGGAACATGAATC